ATCTAATTAATTTTCTACAAAAAAGTGCAAAACTGCAGAAGTTATCACTTCAAAAAATTTAATAAAGCTTTGTTGAAATCCCTTTTTGTGTATTTTTTTTTTTGTTTTAAAATCATGTTAAAACGCCCAATGCAAATATTTCTTATTTTCATAAAATATTTTTCTTGAATACGTAATAGTTAATTTTTTTTTTTAAGACACAGACTTTTATTTTAAATATGAATGAACAATAATACAACTCAAGCATATCAAGCTGCAGATCAAGCTGATTGCAGTAAAAATAAATTACGAGTTACCTATATCTAATACTTCTTCCCACTGTGCCGAAACTAGTATAAGGGATACAGCAAAGCACAACACTATTCCAAGGAATTTCATCTTGATTTCTGATCTGAACCTTTTGCTGTTTTCGAGATCACTTTATATCCACTCATATGGCTATGCATGCGCAGCTGAACAAACATTTAACATAAATATTTACGAATTGAAAGAATAAAATAATTAAGTTATTCTTAGATATGTACCAAACATACAATCACCTGAGACGGTTATATAGAAAAATCTAATAGGTTTGTTTGGTAAAGTCTCTGGAATGGCAGAGGACCGATAGGCCAGAACGCATTTATATCAGGGAGCAATGTCAATGGAAGACGCTCACAAGAAATTCCCCGAAAGACAACACATCGTTAAATACTGACTTACGAAAACCAACTATAGATCAACATTTATTTACTCTCAGCTCCCGATTTCATCTTACACGGACATCGCAACGGGCTTATCAACGACATGCCCATCAGAACACGACTGAAGAGCAGCTTGATGTGAGATCTCCTTCCCTAAATTAAGGAATTATAACCAAGACCAGAAAGTGATACTGCTGGGTACAACTGTTCCTCGTGCCTAAAATTCCACATCTGCTTATCGTTAAAATTACGATATATGTATATATATATATATATATATATATCTATTTTTTTATTTTTTTTATTGAGTATTATAACAATCTGTCTCTTGGACATTGGTTGGACATCCGTATAGTGAGGTAGGATGACATTCACACTATATGTACAAAAAAAATAAATAAATAGAACAAAATAATAATCAAAAGTATATACAATAGATAATAAAATAAAATAACCTAAAAAATAAGGAAATTAAAACTGAGAAAAAAACAAAACACATGCATACCTATATACAATCAGGCGAGGGAACTCCAGGAGAACCCTGCGCTACTCTCCCAACCGCGTCACTGGTACTAAAGCCAGCGGAGATTGGTCGAGAGCACTTTAGCCACAAACACTCATACCTTGAGTGAAGAATCTGGTCATTGCCAGAACTCCAATTTATACAATCTACAAAAGGTCGCGAGGCCACTGCCGTTTTAACCTTCTTGGAGGATTATAGTGATGGAAGGTGCTTGATAGGGATTGTGCAAGAGGATTTGAGTGGTACGTAAGGTTCTGGTGAAATTTGGAGAATTTTTCTGGGATAAGGTCTAGGACAAATGGGATGTTGAGGTCCCCATGTAGGGTTTTGTTGGTTACATAGAAAGGAGCATCGACTATTGTTCAACGGACTTTTCACTGGAAGGATTGGATGCGCTTGATGTTAGAAAATTTTGCTGATCCCCACAGTTCTAGTCCGTAAATCCAAATAGGTTTTAGTACTGTCTTGTAGATCAGTAGCTTGTTTTCAATGGAATTTTAGAGTTTCTGCTTAGTAGTCGGTATAGTTGGCCGTATCGTCGGTTGAATTCTTTTCTTTTGAGTCTAGTATGAGGGTTCCACGTTAGTCTTCGGTCTAAATGAAAGCCGAGATACCGGACTGTGTCTGAGTAAGGAAGCTGGATGGAATCAATTATTTTTTTACCATGTCTAAGTAACGCCTGCTTGATCAGTCATGCGTGCTCTTGCAGTCCAATATAATTTTGTTCTCCTAGCATAAGAGCTGTCCATTATACTGAAGAAACAACTTATGTCTTGTTATGGAGGGCAGGTATCAACATGCTCTCCTGTCATCATATCCAAGGAGCACAGAAGACATGTCGGGCTATCTTTTATACCGATGCGATGAAGGTGCTTCTGCAGGAAATCATGCCCTTTAAACATTCTAAAACATGCTATGCTATGGGAGATCTCTCAAAATCTTGCCACTTGCTTCCAGCAATCCACTCCATTGCTTCCCTTCAATTTTTTTGCTTATATTTCTCTTTCAGTGGACTTCGTAGCGTCTGTTTTATTATTCTTTTAGTTTTTTTTCCCACGAACCGGCCAGCAAGGACCACTTGAATATCATTTCCGTTTTCTCTTCACTCCCTCAGCCTTCCTCTTACTCCAATACTCTCTCACCCTCCTGGACTATTCTTCTAGTTCTCCATTAGTCCATTTTATCCCTTGTCTCTCCCTCCCACCTACAAGAACCTCAATCCCTTTCAGTTTTCCGCTAAAAAGCTCTCTATCCGAGCTCTTTTATTTGTTTTACATATCCCCCCATACTTTTATAGCTGCAAACTTTGTTAAAAATTTTCTTGTTTAGTCTTTCATTATTCATCCGGACCATGTGCCCGTAGAACCTCAGTCGTCTGGTTCTGACGACTGTTTCTAAATCTTCCAATTTTTTGTATATTTCTTTATTTCATTTTTGCCTGTATCCCTCTTGCGTTACCTTGGGTCCGTGAATCCTCCTCAGAATCTTCCTCTCAGTCTTCATGATTTTAGTTTTATTATTCCTAAATAAAAAAACAAACATAATATTAACTAGTTTGATCATGGTAAATAGCATGCTTGTCGTTCTTTCTCAATTATTGGAGTGACCGGATCCATAATATGCAGGAAACTTCTCTAAAGGAGACATTTTTCTACAACGCATAATTTTCTAAACCCCATTATTTTTATAGTATTGAGGCTTCCAAATAACTGTCGCGCTGACTGGATTAATGCATATTGATTGAAAGATTTCTCCTTAATGTACTCACAGAAATCAATGAAACTCGTATTTTAACATCTATTCTATTTATAATAGCATAGTTGATGCTGGAAATTTTATAGTTTATATTTGGTAGAATATAAACTTTAAAATATATGTTTGATCATTTCTTGTTAATTCCCTTAAACAATTAAATATTTGATTGGCCCAGGACCCGGGAAAATGTAAAATGACATTTTTGCACGGTCGTGCTGACCATGGTTTGAGTATTGTGTAAACTCGGCCCAGCTGATATGCAAAGCATGGCTACGTGCCTGCAATAATAATCGTGACCATATTTATTCTTACACGTTTGTGAATGAAAATTTCTAGGATTTCAAATTTTTTCATGCTTTTAATGGACCATTGAAAACACAGATGTGGAAGAGCTTTGAACATCTTGAAAATGCAATTAATTTAAAATTCATTATTCATTTAAAAAACTGATAGGATACTGTCATCTGTATAATGGAGATGGAACATCCCTTATCTTTTGCTTTGTTCTCATGTGTAAGTTCGGCTGAATCTTAAACATTTATTCTTTATAATTATGTCTCACGGAAAATGGAGTAAACTGGGTGAACTACTGGTCCAGAGAAGGAACAAGGAGAATGAAGAAGAGAAGAGGACCACTCTTTACTGGTTTTAATTTCGCAACCTTCCCGCCTCCCAGGAAAAGAAACATAAAAAACTGGTGCGTAGAGCTCATTACACACCTTTCACTTACCACCATCTTCTTAACAGAAATAAGTATTTTCAGACAAAGTGAAGTGAAAGTAAAAAATATAGCCCCTACATTTATTTGTTTCATTTTTGGCATTTTAATATTTATATCACTGTAATCTATACAATTAAATATTAAATAATACCGACAATAGCATTTATGAAAACCAAATATGTATATTTATATAATTTTGACGGTATTATATTAATCTCATGATACGTATGGAAGCGTGTTCTAATCTTTTCGGTGAGCTTGTGTGCTCGTATTCCATTGGTTCTTCAATTACAACTGTTCTCCGTTAAGATCTTTTATTTCTCCCTTAGCTATTTATCAAATTCTTTCATATTTTACATTTAACCATTTTTCATGTGAAAAATTAAAGGTATTTAAGAGGAAGCTAATATTTAAAATTAGCCATTTAAGCTCTGTTAAGCTGAGAACATCAATCAGAATAATAACCTTATTTTCTTTAAAACTGCTTAATCTTACACTGATATGATGAATTTAATCAAAATCGTTAGAGCGGTTTTCGAGAAAATTGTAAAAATGTGTTCAGTGGATTATATAAAAAGCCACTTCCGGTTAGCCTATTCTGACGAAAAAGTTGCCGGATCATCCCTAGCACATGAAAACCTTAAATATGCAATTTTACTGTCGTACAACTTTTCGTTTATGAGCTAGATTGTTAAAACACACACACACAGACCATTTTGCGGGACTTGGTTATTTGCATAACCAATATATATTACGATCGCAATGCTTACGCTTACTACATATTACAGTGAAAGTAAAGATGTATCATATTCAAAATTAAACTAAACCAAAGTAACCTATATCTGTATGTAATATTTAGGCATACTCCACCCACTCTAATATTATTTATATCAATATACAATAGAAAGTTTCACGAACTTCTAGTCCACCCACTAACTCATCTATAAAGTAACTCTCACAAGAATGCCCATACGTGTCCTGCGCACTATGTGTGTTAAAAAAAATACACAAGACACAGAACAAAGAGACCATCAATTTCAAACCTTAAGGAAGAAAGGTGCCTTTGGTAAAGAGGCCGAACGAATACTGGTATTAGTATGAATCATTTTTCATACTAAGACTGGCGTTGAGGACAAATTTAAATTTCTCATGCATTAACACGCTCTCGGGTTATCAATGCCAACACCTCATCCAAGCACCGCGAATCGTCTGATATATTACATCGGAATCAGGAAAGTTGCTGGAATGGTTTAAGCTTTGAACAATATATTGCATATAGTATTGCGTTTTCTGTAGTGTGGGTGAATAATAAAAGATAAAGTATTTAATAAGTTATTTTATTAAAAATATATTGATATATTACATAAACACTTGAAATGTCTATAGTAATTGTAATCTGTAGAGGCCATGGTCCAGTCTGACTAAGGTATTGATGAGTCCTCTCAGAGTCCAGTTGGCCAATTCTCCAAGCGTCACTGCACGGTAGTTCGTGTAAGCTGGGGAATCAAATGTATATTAGTTATTATGTTTTTTTTACAAAGCTTATCAATAAATACTATAGTTAATAGTTACAATACTACCGAAAATATTTGCCACACATTTTTCATAGAACTTTAAAATTTTCATATAACTAGTATATACCCCTGGACTTATCCTAATCCTTAATTTAACTCGTTCAAGACCTTTTCGTTTATTGCAGAAGAACCTTATTTAATAGTTACCTAAATTAATTAGAGTATAGAAGCAATATCTGTATATATTGTTATTTATTAAAAATATTAAAAAATTACTTTATACAATATATTATCCGAAGTGTCCAAGGGATTATAGAAATAATCTGCTATATTTACCTTTTTGATTGATTTTTATTTCGTTGAAAATCCCCATTAACAGCAATATTTTAATTTTTTAAACCATCTGATTTTTTAAACCTTTCACATTTTTTTCAATGACCATTATTAAAGAAGCCGAGGGCCGGAAAAAAAATCTATACTACCTTACTATATATAAAATTAAGAAAAAAAAATTCTATCACAAGTTTATATAGATAAAATCATCAAATTAATGAAGACTTTTTATTTATTTTGGTATACTATATATGTGTGTGTGTGTGTACTGGAGTAATTAGCGTAGAATTACTTTTTTTTTTATTTCTCTAATGAATTACTCCTTTAGAGTATACCGAAATAAATAAAATGCCTTAATAATTTTTGTGATTTTGGTTATAATTAAAGATGGAGTAAAATATATTTTTTTTAATTAACAAACAATATAGTGGTTATTCTAAATAATTAATGATCATACATTATGTCAGATATAATCCAAATTCATGCATTAATTGAATGTGAAATATGTAAGATAGCTGCAATCGTCTGAATCTCTACCAAGTAATAAATTAACTTTTATAACTTTCACATTTACAATGTGTAATTTAGTTCATGTGTAATGTTAAACTAGAATACAATTAGAGAATAAAAGGGAAAAAATGTATTAATTTTAAAAGTTCAGAAATAATTTGTTAAGACCTATATGTATACATCTTCACAAATCATTTCTAACATTTTACATTTTTTTTTCTTTTTATTCTCCAATTTTATCCATGTTTAACATGACACATTAATAAATCTTACGGTTCTTTAAAGTCATTGATTTTAAATATACAAAGAATTAAACATTTTCTATTGACTCAAACCAATCCACTGGTTTGTTGAAATTTTTTCTGATTTATTATTAATGTAAGATTAGAATGTATCGTCCGATTGATATTGTAAAACATCTGTGGACACGTGTGTACCAAAATTTGACTTAAATGACTAATTTTATTCCCTCTTCGAAAAAAAAAAAAATGGTACTAGATTACTACACTAAACTATTTCGTTCGATTTAAAATATGATATAAGTATACTTATAATGCTTTGTATAATTATTATTTGGCGAATTTTCAAGTGATTATAGGTATATTGTGACTTAGAATAATATTTTAAATAACATAATAGTGGATCTTACTGTTAACCAGGCAGTTGTAGGCCACGTTCATCAGAGACCGCTGCGCTGAAGCGACTGCCACGAGGGCGACGAAGAAGAAAACCAGAACTGCGAACTTCATGTTTCCTGTTGGTAACTGTAGCGTCCTAACCGAAGGTATGGTCTTTTATATGGGACCTAGCACCTGATCAAACACGATGGTCCTTCCGTGAATCAGGTCAAGCCCTTCGATTCCACATTATCCAGCTAAGACAACAGAGGGCCTGATGTCGTAACACTGGATCGTCCCGTGTGGGAGCTCGTTCAGATAAGACAATGGCACTTCATAGCTCTATTTTCCTGCAGTTATCGTAAACAAGAAGCATCTTAGCATACTGCAGCTGTTTATCTCAGGCCCCTCTGTCATATTAGAAGAAAAAGCAGATCGTCGTTGGTTAGAGCTATAGAGATATTTTAATTTCCATTAAATCAGAATAAGGATAGTCTTTTGTACTAGTTCAGATTGAAAACATTATCCTGTCTCTTCATCTTAACTAGTCAAAAAGGATTCCGTTGCAACAAATGAATTTTTGCTTGAATGTCTAAATCATTCTATTAACAAACATTACGAGAAAGGTCGCGTTGAGTTAGTAAGATTTTTCCATCAGATCAGGGACTAATCTTCATTAAGTAGATATTCATTCAGACATTTCTTGTTTATATGATGATGTTTTATTTTTTTATTTTTTTTTTATTTTTATATATTTTTATTTTTATTTTTTCTGTTCTTTCCTACCTCGCCTTTTAGGCTATACGGGTTTTCCCGGGCCGGGGAATGAGGGCGGGAAATTTAAAATCCCCTACGGCACCGGGACGCGAACTCGTACTTTTTATAATCTTCTCAAATTCTGTTATCTGGTTGCCGGGTAACTCGCGGTGCTGTGCACACGCTTTAGCCCATTCGGCCACCCCGCCCCCCCTATATGATGATATGTTGGTTCTTATGTAGTATTGATTAAGTACTGTATCGATCCTGCATTATTGTACATTTAATTAGTACTTTTATATTTAACAAGTTCCCCATCTATCCCAAATATACCTATTTCGTACTGCATGAGCAATGCATGCAATAATTAAAATGTTCCAATAAGTGTCCTTTAAATTTTCATATATGTACTACATTCCCGAGAAAAGTCAGGAAAAAAAAAGATCAAGAAAAGAAAACTGTTTTGGGGCCTAACTCGTTAAGTATATATTAATTTTTGAAAGGTAATTAGATTTCTAAGAAAACAAAAAAAAAAAAATCATCGGAATCGAACCGGTATAAGCGTTGATACAGTGTATTCTATTTTCTACACATGTTTTAATTTATTACTTTCCTATCCATAGTAGGTAAGGAAAGTATTGCGATCGGGTCAAATTTTCGATATGCGGTTTTGGACGGACCTATACGTTTTGTTGAAAGGTAATGAAATTTCCCTACAAAACTATATGAAAATAGTTCATTTCGGACAACTATTAACGAAGTTACAGCTATTCAATTTCGTATGTAAGATTATGGGTTCATATACTGTTGTCAGAAAGGGGTGATTGAGAGAGAATAATGAAAACTAAGTGAATGTAAGAAAATCCATTGCCGCAAAAGCTTCACTATTTCCTCAACTTTTAACGAAAATCATTGTGTGACGAAATTAGGCTATGGGCAAAAAGTTATAGATTAGCAATATTAAAGGGTATTGAATTTTTTTACGCTCATCTACCACTAGCAGTTTGAAATTGCTTTAAAATAAATCTAATTCAATTTTTTTTTTCGTTTCTTAATGGACATATTTAAATATGTAAAAGCTTTTTCTGAAATAGGTGGGAAAGTTGTGTGAGTGGAAAAATCAGATTTTTTGGTCAATAATTGCATAATTGCCCACTTTATAGAGGTTGAAAGCTTCCAATGTGGGTGGGTATTTCGACCCACAGAGATCCACGGCTGACGAAATACAAAAAGAATTAATTGCCACATCCGGACTCCAACCCCAGATCTGTAGCATAAAGCTCATTATTCATTCAACTACCACGCTCTCCACAATATATACATACTAAACAAAAATAAATATAACCAACTTACGAAATAATGATAATCTTAATGAAAATAAGTCAAATAATATATGCATATCACAAATTAAAGTATAAATATAGATAAATTAGATAGTAAAAAGAGAAATATATACGATTATATATAAAAAAAATTATATTAAAAAAAATAATATTTTACAACTTAATATTTATGTACAAGAGAATACTAGCATTTAACATTTAATATATTTTGCTCGTTTTGTCAATTTCCTCCTGAGTTTAATTTATACTTAAAAGAAATAGAAAAAAAAATCGATTGGTCTGATATATATTTGGTTAAGTTCAGATTAGTTGAAATTTGTTTTGAATCTTTATAAAACAAAAGATAAAACTTAAGAAGTCCTCACGAATCTTAAAAAAACTTTATAATGAGCATATAATAGCTTTTGAAATTTTATTTTATTTTTTATTTCTGTTATTTTCAGCATTCGTCTAATTTATATTTTGTTTAAAGTGTGACCTTTCAAATTTTGTTTTTATTTTGAGATGGTGTGATACAGATAGTGTTGTGAGACTTGGACGTGTTGGACTTGCAAACTTAGTTTTGGTCATGGTCTTGGTCTTGGTCAAGAGTCTTCCAGTTACCTATTGCTCTATTATTGTAAAGATATCACTCTAATTTTTCAGATAGTAGAAACCTAATCGAACTCGAATTTAAAATTAGAGGTGTTAAATGCGAAAGTATATTGGTTATAACAATTATTTACATATAGTAACTAAGATTGTCAAATATTAGTAACGATTTTGCCTTAATTTTTATTCAAAAAATCGATTTTTTTAACCAGTCCTGCTCTTGGTCTTGCAACAGTTAGGCGACCTTGGTTTTGGTCTTACAAACTGCAAGACCAAGACCAATTTTCTGCAACAATAGACACTATTTAACTATGACTTTTATTTTAAAGTATTGTAACGATAGAATTTCCAATATATTTGTAAAATAAAATTTACAAAATTGGGATGTTTAATTCATGTGAGATAATGCTCAATATATTTTATTGCTTAGGTAAATACAAATTTAAATATAGTTTTGATTCATAAATGATGAACGTTCTGCCAAGTATTGATCTCGGCTGTTAGCGAATTCGGCCTCAGAGCTTATACACGTTTGAAGTTCCAAATGTGGAACAAAAGCTGGGGAGCCTCCTAATGCGCTAGTTCCATACTTAATCCGATTGAATTCGCTCACTTTGGTGGACTTATTCATTAGAACGGGGCTCACTATCGTACTTGGCAGGATATTATGAAATGTGGGGTATGCGTTTTATTGTTAAGGTGCCTTCAACGGAAATGCCATTCTTATAAAATGTGTCCGTAAATAAACTGTAACTAAATCAGATTTATTTCAGGAATAAGAGAAGGAAATGTTCCACGAATGTACCTTTATTTAGACACAAGCTTCATTGTTAATTATTTTTACTTTCACTTTCCCATGATACATACAACTTTTACCTACCATCACTTACTATGTAATATATAGTAAGGATAACTATTGCGATCGTGAAAATTTTCGAATCTGTGTTTTCAACGAAACTAAATGTTTTGATGCCCCTGAGTCCAAATAACGAAGTCCCGCAAAATGGTCTTTGTTAGTGTTGCCCAAATACGAGACCGAGAGGAGTCTTGGTCTTGCAAAATTTTTTTTTACTAGTCCTGGTCTTGGTCTTGCAACAGTTAGGTGGCCTTGGTTTTGGTGCTAAGTGCAAGACCAAGACCGATTTTGGACAACACTAGTCTTTGTGTGTGTGTGTGTGAATAGTCTTGCTCATAAAAGAAAAGTCGTACGAAAGTGAAACGTGAAAGGTTTTGATAAGCCTAAAATGTTACAGCAACGTATTCGTCAAAATCGACTAACCTGAACACTTTACTTCATCGGTTTAACACATTTTTACATTTTCTCAAAAACGGCTCTAACAATTTTGATTAAATTCATTATTTCTATTTAATATTAAGCGGTTTTAATATAATGTAGAATATTTTCTCATTCTCTCACAGGGCTTAAATGGCTACTTTTCGAAATTTTCTTCTCCTAAAGTACCTTTTTTTTTTTGAAAGAATTAACCATTTCGTATTACAACCTGGTGTACAAAATGGTTCAATACAATGAATGAAGAAAATTTATTGGTAATTAAAGAGGAAATAAAGGGTTGGAAGCTATACGGAAACAAACGAGAACGCCCGACCTTTGCCGATCCTCCTTCTTTATCGATACCCGATACCCCTCTGTAAATGACTTTTATATTGTTATTTTATTTTTTTTTATATCACTTATCTGTAATTTTTTAAAAAGTTTTTCTTGTGAAATGTTGATTTACTAATATAAACCTAATAATATACAATATTAACTAAAATTAAGTATTTTTTCCACTTAATTGAGATAAATGTTTCGGTGAAAAAGTATAACTTTTTTAAAAGATCTATCTTCATCCAGAGTCATTAATATTGTTTTATATCATACTAAGGTTGGTAAGTGAAAGTTGTATGATGCGCGCACCGCACCATTTTTTTTTTACTTTTTTACTTTTACTTGCAATAATGAAAAGATCAACACCATCTATCTGTTGCAAGACAAAGACCAACCGGTAAAAAAAATCGATTTTTTGAATAAAAATGATTGCAAAATAGTTACTAATACTTGACAATTTTAGTTACTATATGTAAAGAATTGGTGTAACCTATATTCTGCATTAAACTCATCTAATTTTTCATTCAGACTTATATAGGTTTCTCATATCTAAAAAATTACAGTAATATCTCTCTAGTAATAAGCTAATAGATAACTGCAAGACTGTTACGAGAGTCTTGCGCAAGACCAAGACCTAGACCAAGACTGAGTTTGCAAGACCAATACTCGTCTCGGTCTCGCATTTGGGCAACACTAGTTTTAATAACTAGACCCTTTTGCTCATGTACCTCTTTTACATTTTCAGCAAGTAACCAGCACCTTTCGTATCTTGTACAATGATGATTTGGCCATCCGCGAAGAAACAATATAGATGAATAGTTCACTTTAGGTAGTTTCATTTTTCGTCCATTA